TTGATATTTGTTCAACCTTTTCAAATAAACTTGCAGCAAAACAAGGAAAACAATGAAGGTAATTAATTTACTAAATACCTAATTCAATGACCTTTTTCAACTTCATCAGTTTCATTAGCAGTCTATTTTGGGATATTATTACTCTATTAAGGTTTACAGGATAAATTGAAATGAATTCTGAATCTAACCCATTTTGACCCAAGAAATGGTCATTTAAATATGAAATTAGGCTTGAGTTGAAAGATTTTTGTTAACCACTTGATTAATTTGTCAGTCATTTTTTGTGGTTCACAATGATTAACCAATTATTTATTCAATCTGTGTTTATTACAGAATGAGTTTCATTTTTCCATTCAAATCTTTTCTGAAGGCTTTTAAAAATTCAACATAACATTCAAATCTATTTGCTACTTTGAAATCGCAGAAAATTGATATTTATAATTAAAAAAAGAGAGTTAATGTTAGCTAGCATTCGTGTCTTTTAATTACATACAGTTGTTGTGATAATTGAATTCGGATTGATATAATTTATGAAAATATTAAATACTTGGTAAACTAAACTTTTAAATCATGGATTTGCCATTTTGAATTGATCAATTTATGAGTACAGTTGGTAAGACAATCACAATAACTGTGGGAAAGATTTTAAGATTGTAATTATCGCACAATAGCAAATAAATTTGGTGAAATTTCAAACGATTTTTAGCCGCAAAATTGTCCAATTATTGCAATGAAACAGTTATAAAGATCGTTGAAAATGTTTGGTTATTTTTGAAAACAAAGTCACGGCTGAGGTGAGGTAATGTCATGTGGAAAGTGAACCCAATCAATGGTAGAAAATAAATTTACAAGTAGAAAAGAAAACCTATTAAATTGTGTGTAAATATGAACAAGTGATTAGGATATGAGAAACGATTGAAATTTTAAATGAATAGCCATAATAAATAATCAAGAGCACAAATTATAAAAAGAAACAAACTTTAGATTAATTCAATAAAAAGAAAGATTGAAAGTACTCAAAAGAAATTGCTGAGATTATTTTGGATTAAGTTTTGTAGACTCTAATTGTTCCCCTAAAGAATCAGGTTTACTTGTCGAAGGATTACCGTTTTGTGATCGAACCAACCTTTCGTGCTTCTTTCCATTTA